ATTGTTTGGTGGAAGAATACTGTTTTTATTAATATCATTACACTTTATTTGCTCCGTTTTATTTTGTGAAACCTTACTACGTATATGGAATAACCGTTTTATAAACGCAATAATCCCCGTGAAGCCGTGGTTTACAGTGAATTTATAACAGCTATAAATCCCGCTTCGCGTCGTGCCTAACAACGCCCCTTAGCTGTTATAAATTCACTGTAAACCACGGCTTCTTGGGACTTATTGCTTTAATAAACACTATTACCATTAACCAACATGTGAACTGTGAACGTGCAATGTATTTTCAAATTATTGAAATACTCTCATCTAACATACTTCAGTGACGTAGCACGTCTGTCAGTAATCATGTAAATTTGTTTCTGGTGTTTCTGAAGGTCGCAGTGGCGCGTCTGTACCTGGAGAGGGCGATGGAGACGCGCACGGCCGATCTGAAGCGTGTGAAGCCCCTGCGCTGACCCCCCACAGACTCCAGACAGGTGTGTGCAGGGAAGCCACCCATCCGGGCGATCAGAGACAGCGTGGCCTCCTCACACTCCTGAAATCCTCCCAGCAGCAGCAGAAGATACTTCTTCTGATAGATCAGGGCCTTCCGGAAGCTCTCGGCGCGCAGGTATTTCCCATACATCCTCTGTAGAGACAGACGGGTGGTGAGTACGTGAAGCTGTAAACGCTGAGTTGTGTTGCTGTGAACGCTCACCCTGAGGGCCGTGTTGTCCAGATCAGCTCCGGTCAGATCCCGCAGCGTATCGGAGCGAATCTCTCCTCTCAGACGGATCAGTTCTGCCTCGGCCTGACGGAGAGACTTCTCCAAACGATTCCTCTCCTGAGCCCAAGACTCTCGCTCGCTAGAGAATAACACCAGCTCCTGACGCTCCACCGCAGCCCGGCTCGACGCCTGAGAGAGAGAGAGCAACTCTGTTTATTCATACGAACAACTTCACTTCATAGATGCTGTCTCCACACTGTCTGAATGTCCACTTAACATCATTTCCTACAAAACCCACAGAGAAAGAGAGAGACACGGAAAAGAAACAGAAAGGAAGAAAGATAGACAGAAACAGACAAAAGTTAGAAAAAGATGAAAGATTGAAAAAAATCTGACAGAAAAAGAGAAAGATCATTTATTATAATTGTGAATCGCAAACATTTTTTAAAACTATGACTAAAGCTACATTCTCAACCACTGTGTTCATTAATTGATTCACTGATTCATTCACGTGTGCTCTCTGTGGTGTTTTCTTCTGTCTGTAATTGAATCACTGATTCATTCATTCGTTAACTCACTCATGCTGTCTGCAGTGGCTTTCTTTCTTTTGTCTATAACTGATTCACTGATTCATTCATTGCGTCATTGATTCACTCACGCTCTCAGCGGTGGTTTTTTCTCTCTGTAACTGACTCACTGATTCATTCATTGATTCACTCACGCTCTCAGCGGTGGTTTTTTCTCTCTGTAACTGACTCAATGATTCATTCATTGATTCACTCAAGCTCTCAGCGGTGGTTTTCTTCTGTCTGTAACGGACTCACTGATTTATTCATTGGTTCATTCACTCAAGCTCTCTGCGGTGGTTTTCTTCGGTCTGTAACTGACTTACTGATTCATTCATTGAGTCATTGGTTCACTCACGCTCTCTGCGGTGGTTTTCTTCGGTCTGTAACTGACTTACTGATTCATTCATTGAGTCATTGGTTCACTCACGCTCTCTGCGGTGGTTTTCTTCGGTCTGTAACTGACTTACTGATTCATTCATTGAGTCATTGGTTCACTCACGCTCTCTGCGGTGGTTTTCTTCGGTCTGTAACTGACTTACTGATTCATTCATTGAGTCATTGGTTCACTCACGCTCTCTGCGGTGGTTTTCTTCGGTCTGTAACTGACTTACTGATTCATTCATTGGTTCATTCACTCAAGCTCTCGGCGGTGGTTTTCTTCGGTCTGTAACTGACTTACTGATTCATTCATTGATTCATTCACTCA